TATATGGTGTGAGATATGGGTCTTGTTTCATTTTTCTGGAAATCGATTTCCAGTTTTGCCAGCACCATTTGTTGAAGAGACTATCCCCTCCTCATTTAATGTATTTTGGCCCTTTGTCAAAGATCAGCCAACTATATATGGATGGATTTACTTCGGGGTTCTCAATTCTGTTCCATTGATCTATGTATCTTTGGTTGTACCAGTACCAGGCTGTTTTGACCATGGTGGCTATGTAGTAAATTTTGAGATCAGGGAGTAAGAGGTCACCAGCTTGGTTCTTCTTCTTAAGCAGTGCTTTGCTACTAAGAATGAACTTAACTGGAAACCTCTAATGTCTTCCTTTATCCAACATCATTCTTTTCTAAATCAGAAAACACAGATGGAAAGGAGAAAAAAGCTACCAAAAAGAAAACATCCCCCATCAGTATGAAGCTTACAAATAGTGACCCTGTATAGGGTTTCCAAGCCTGTAAATCTTTGCAGACACAGAAAATCTCATCTCTCTCCTATGGAGCAGACAGTAGGCTCATAGGACAGCTTATAAATAAATAACTTTCGAAATAGACAATTGCTAACCCAATTTATAAGCAGTCTTCTTTTACCACAGTCCTCTTACCAGGTGAATAATTTCTCAGCTCATCTTAGAAACCTGACCTAGTTTCTTCCTTTTTATCATGCACTGACCTGCAAGGTTGGTGGTTCAAGCTCACCAACCGCTCCTTGGAAATCCTATACAGAGTCGCTATGAGTCAGAAGTGACTCGATGGCACTTAACAACATCGACAACAACATATCTGTATCATCCTCATTGGCTATTAAATTTATATTGGCCTTTCTCCATCATTTTAGTTTCAACTTTTTTTAAGAGCTGAGGAGTGGCCATAGCTGATGCCCTCAGTCCACAAGTCTTGAATGAAAACGTTCTTTCCTTGGATTCCTCTGCCCACTTCCTCCCTATGTCACACTAAGGTGAGAAAAGAAAGTAAAAAAAATCACTGTCTCTACTTCATTCGTCTCCCTTGCTCTTTGAAATCCAAAATTTCATTCTCTGTCATCCAATTTATCATCATTCGAATATGTGAACACATCTGCTTTCATAAGCTGCCATGGTTATGAATATTCTTTGACATGACCCTTCTGTGTTCAAAACAGGCACTGGAGCATAGCATCCACCTATGTTTAAATAAGTTAACCCTATGACTCACCTCATTTCCACCAACTGCCTTGGTTAAAATCACTGCAGAAGACACAGGGGGAGGCATGCAACCTACTGTCTGCAACCTGGAGAATAAAAGGAAATACAATTACAAATAGTTTTTACTACATACATTTTTAAATAGTAGCTTTAAACAAATTAAAATAGAAGAATACTTATTAGTGCTCATGCCTTGTTGAATTTGTACTAGTCTATGTGAGGCACCGACTCGATGGCACCTATCAACAACAACAATGTGAGGCAAGAATCCTCGTCTGGCATTGTAGTATAAGCACTGGACTGCTCACTACAAGATCAGTGGTTCAAACACACTAGCTGCTCTTAGAAACCCTATATAGGGCTGCTATGAGTTAAAACTGACTCAATGGCACTTAACAACAACAAATGTGAGGCAAGAAGTATGGTGGTTCTGTAGAATAAATGCTGAAGTGCTAACCACAAGGTCAGTGGTTCAAGCCCACTGTCCACTTCATAGGAGAAAGATGAGGCTTTGTGCTCCTGCAAAGATTTACAGCCTTGGAAACCCTATACAGGGTAACCATGAGTCAGAACCAACTCAACGGTTCTTAACTACAACAACATGAGGCGAAGTTGCTTAGAACATGCTACAAATGCATAGGTTCAGTTCTGTCCCATAGGCTTGGATGGTTTTCTTTGTAAAGTTACTTAAACTCTTATACAAGGAGCCCTGGCAACACAGTGGGTTATATGTTGGGCTGCTAACCTCAAGGTTAACAATTCAAATCTACTGGTGTCCCCATGAAAGGAAGATAAGGTTTTCTGCTCCAGTAAAGATTTACAAGCCTTGGAAACCTTTACAAGGTTACTATGAGTCAGAACCTACTCCATAGCACACAACCACCACTACCATGATCTTATACAATTTAGAAACAGTCAAGTTATAGGAAGTGGTGTAATTAAGTCATAACAAAAGTGATTAACTATTGGATTTTGTTGTTAGTCATTACTGAGTCAGCTCCAACTCATGACTACCATACATGTAACAGAACAAAATGCTGCCCAGTCCTTCACCATCTTCATGGTCTACTAATATGTTTGGATCCATTATCGTGGCTAGTAATAATTTTACGTGGTTTAAAAGTTGCATTTTCCTTAAAGAATTACTATGACAACAAAAAAATCAGAAAAAAAAATTTTTGTTTTACCTGAAAATAACTGAAAATTTGATTAAAGTATGTATAATTTTAGGATATTTTCAGGAAAGGCAAAAATCTTCTTCAATTTATTTTGTAGGAACTCTTTCTTTCATTAAAAATATAACTTCTACAAATCCTGATGTCACATTTTTTTCATATAGTCCAGCTCCTCTGATTATTTACTCATCATACAGATCAAATAAGTATGGTAAGAGGCTACAATGCTGACACACACCTTTTCTGTTTTAAACCATTCAGTGTCCCTTTGTTCTTTTCCAACAAGTGTCTTCTGTTCTATGTACTGATTCTTTATAGGCACAATTGTTGGGAATTCCCATTCTTCACAGCATTATCCATAGTTTGTTATGATCCACAGAGCTGAATGTCTTTCATAGTGAATATAGCACAAATAAAGATCTTTCAGGTATTTTCTACTTCAGCCAAGATCCATTTGATGTCAGCAATGATATATCACATTCCACATACTATTATGAACCTGGCTTTAATTTCTGGAAGTTCCCTGCCTATGTACTGATTCAACTATTTTTCAGTTATCTCCAGTGAAGTTTTACTTGCATATGATATTAACGATAATTGTTTAATGATTTCTGCATTCCATTGGGTTACCATTTTCTGGAATGGGCACAAATATAGATCTCTTCCAGTCAGTTGGCCAGGTAACTGTCTTCCAAGTTTCTTGATATAGTCAAGTGACCACACTGCATCAGTTTGCGGAAACATTTCTATTTGTATTCTGTCAATTACTGGAGTCTTGTTTGCTGCCAATGCCTTCAGCGTGGCTTGGACTTCTTTCAGTATCATTGGTTCTAGATCATATGCTATTCTTAAAATGGTTGAACAGACAAATTTTGGTACAATGATTCTGTACATGCTTCCTATCTTCTGTTGATATTTCCTGCAACATTCAATATTTTGCCCACATTGTAAGGGCTGTCAAGTTCTTATGACTGATAGTGACCCTGTATAGGGTTTCCAAGGAGCAGCTGAAGGTTTTGAACCACCGACCTTGCAATTAGCAGTCAAGTGTGTCTCCTACAGTGCCAAACCAGGACTCCATTTTGCCCGTAGAATCCTTCATTATTACAAGCCAAGGCTTGAATTTTTTTCTTCAGTTCTTTCAGCTTGATAAATGCTGAGCATGTTCTTCCCTTTTGGTTTTCTAACTCCAGGTCTTTGCACCTTTTATTATAATATTTGACTTTTCTTATTAAATTGCCCTTTGAAATGTTCAATTCAGCTCTTTTACTTCATTATTTCTTCCATTCCCGTTAGGTTCTTTATGTTCAAGAGCAAGTTTCAAAGTCTCTTCTGACATCCACTTTGGTTTTTTTCTTGCTTGCTTTTTAATGACCTTTTGCATTCTTCACATATGATGTTCTTGATGTCATCCCACACCTCTTCTAGACTTCCATCATTAGTGTAATTTTTAATGTATACAATCTGCTCTTGAGATGGTCTCTAAATATACATAGGATATACACTCAAGGTCATATATAGGACCTCTTGTAAACATGTATAATTTTCTTCAGCTTCAACGTAATTAGCATAGCAGTCAAAGTCTGCCCCTGGCCTTGTTCTGATATTGAGTTTCTCTACTGTCTCTTCCCACAGATGTAGTCAATTTGATTCCTGTGTGTTCCATCTGGTGAGGACCACAAATATTATTGCCATGTATGTTGGTGAAAATCAGGTTGGTCTTGAAAAATTCTTTCATATGATCTACAGCACTGTTTCTAGCTCACCAAGGCCATATTTTCCAACTACCAACCCTTCTTCTTTGTTTCCAATTTTTGCATTCCAGTTGCTAATAATTATCAATGCATCTTCATCATTGGCTATAGTGGTCAGCACATAAATTTGAACAATAGTAGTACTAACTGGCCTTCCTTGCAAGTGACTGGATATTATCCTATCACAGACAACATTGTATTTCAGATAGATCTTGAAATGTTCTTTTTGATGATGAATACTACACCATTCCTCTTTGTCATTCCCAGTATAGTAAACCATATGATTCTCAGATTCAAAATGGCTAATATCATTCCACTTTTGCTCATTAAATCCTAGTATTTCAATCTTCAGGTGTTACATTTAATTTTTGATGACTTCCAATTTTCCTAGGTTCATACTTCAGATATTCCATGTTTCGATAATTGTAAATGTTTGTAGACATTCCTTCTCATTTTGAGTTGTGTCCCATCATCAAATGAAGGCCCCCAAAGCTTTGTTCTACCATGTCACCAAGATCAACTCTTCTCAGAAGAGGCAGCTGTTCCTCACTTTTATTTTGAGTGCTTCCCAACCTGAGGAGTTCATCTTGCAGCACTATATCAGACAATGTTCCACGGCTATTTATAACGTTTTCAGTGGCTAACTGTTTCAGAAGGGGTCCGCCTCTCCACCTTCTTAGTCTGTCCTACTCTGGAAGCTCTGCTGAAACCCGTCTACCCTGCTGGTATCTAACATACCAGAGGTAGAGCTTCCAACATGACAACACACAAGGTACTCTCTTCTGTAGGTTACTAATGCATCATTCTAATTTTATCTCTTTTAAACCATCCCAAACTGATTTTATTTTTTTTAATTTCTCTTGTCTTATTCTCAATCTTGTTTCCAAATCCATAGGAATATTTTTTGAACCAGAAGGTCGGCAATTCAAACCCACAAGCTGCTGCTTGGAGACCCTATACAGGGTCACTATGAGTCAGAACCAGCTCAATGGTACTTAACAACAACAACCAATACATACATATATGTATATTTATATATGTCATAGGATACACACACACACATATATAATCTCCTATGTATCCAACTAGATAGGGCCAGTGGTGGTTAAGTGGTAGAATTCTTGCTTTCCATGTGGGAAACCTAGGCTAAATTCCCTGCCAGTGCATCTCATGCACAACCCCCACCCATTCATAGTGGAGGTTTGCTTATTGTTCTGATGCTGAACAGGTTTCAGCGGAGCTTCCAGAGTAAGACAGATCTAATGATCTATATTCTAAAATCAGCCAATGAAAACTCTATGGATTACAACAATCCAGTCTTCTGTTGTGCTTCTCATGAGTCAGGGGCTAACTCAACCGTAGCTAAGAACAACATCCGACTAAATAGGAAGTTCCATGAAGATAAAAAAATGACTTAGTAGCTTTCTATTCCTTTGTTGTTGTCACGTGTAGTTGAGTCAACGCCAACTTATAGTGATCCTATATAGGGTTTCCAAGGAGCAGCTGGTGGGTTTGAACTGCCAACCTTGTGGTTAGCAGTTCAATGCTTATCCTATAATCCTACACCCTATTCCTTTTGTGCCCTACATATGGCAGATACTTAGTAAATCCCAATATTTAATATGCATCATATATTGTTGCTCTAATAATGTCATCATATTTATGGGGCATTTATGCTTTTTAGTAAAATTCATTATCTCAAATTAAATCTGGTTAAAATACTCTTTATTTCCCCTTCTACTCCTAACCTATTTCTCTCCAGCTAAGCCATCTAGTAGTAAGGAGTCTTGGTAACATAATGGGTTACACATTGGGCTGCTAACTGCAAGATCCGCAGTTCAAATCCACCAGTTGCTCTCTGGGAGAAAGATGAAGCTTGCTGTTCAGTTAAAATTCACAGGCTGTACAACCTACACAGAGTCACTAGGAGTCAGAACTGACACAACGGCACACAGCATTAGCAGAAAGCCATCTAGTGGTTCATACGTAAAACTCAGAAGTCATCCTTGGTTCCTCCCTCTCCTCTACCAGGAGATTCTGAGGACTCTAATTTCAAAATATATTCTACACACATCCATTTCTCTCTACTGTCCCACTCACTGCCACACTAGCCTCCAAACTGCCCTCCAAACTTTCTTACCAGGCCTTCTAGAAATCATTTACAAATACACATCAGAATCAGACCCCACCATAGCTGTTGTGAGTTGTGTCATTCCACCTCATAGTGACCTTATACACAACAGAACGAATCACTGCCTGGTCCTGTGCCATCCTCACAATTGGTGCTATGTTTGAGCCCACTGCTGCTGCCACTATGCCAATCTGTCTCTTCCTCTTTTTCAATGACCCTCCATTTTACCAAGCATGATGTTCTTCTTTAGGGACTGGTTCCTCCTGATAATGTGTCTGAAGTCTGAGGGACAAAGTATAGCCATCCCTGATGTCACCACCATTCTGCCCACCCAGACACTCTCACTATGTACCACCTTCACATCACTTACCTCTGTTGGTTTATTTACTTATGTGGCGATTTTCACCCACATCATCTGAATCTCCCCATGACTCAAAACTGTCACTTTCCCATTCACATTCCCTGTTGTTTCCCTCGCACCTAACTGGTACAAATTAAGAGCTAAATAAATGACACAAATAGGATATACAAATAACTAGAGGAGAAGTGATCTCAACTGATATTCCCAATAGTGTTATAAAGTAGGCAAGAGGAGAAGTGATCTCAATTGATATTCCCAATAGTGTTATAAAGTAGGCAATAAAAGTATGATTATCTCCATTTTATAAACAGGAAGATTGAGGCTCAAACTATTAAATTACTTTCCCAAGGTCAAATAGCAAGTAAGAAACAGAGAATGTTCTCAACACAGAATTCAATTATTTGGGATCTAAATCTAGTGTTTTTGCTAATTGTTCTTTGATGCTAAAATGAGGTTAGTTTTAAGCCCCCCCCCCCAAAAAAAAGGAAAACTCATCAAATCCTTTTAATAAACATGGCAACATTTTTAGTGGAAGAATTGTTGATGTTCAGTGAAGTAGGTTTCGACTCATAGTGACACTGGATAGAGTTTCCGAGGAGCAGCTGATGAATTTGAACTGCCAACATTGAGATTCAAATTGACCTTGCAGTCCAGTGCATTATCCCACAGTGCTACACCAGGAAGAATAGCTATTAATAAAAATCTATTATAAATTATTACATCAAATATAAAACTAGCACAAAAAGTCCTATATATATTCTTTTTTTTTTTTTTCTCCTGTAAGGTTTGAAACATAATATGCCCAGCCATTCCTTGTATACATCTGGTAAGAGGTAGAATGCAAAAGTTAAAATACCCAATTGACAACCTATGTTATACACATGCATATACATCTTATATCCTCTGGTCCCTTCATTCTTCTCCCGACATCACTCTTAAAACTTTCCAAAAAAATTGCCATCCAAGAACCTAGGAACATGAGGGTAAGTTTTTATATTCCATTATAAATTATTTTATGGATCTTTCTGAGGAAACACTATTATTTTAATGGATAATAACAATGTTTTTTAAAAAGTGTTTTTAAGATACCATACATATGCCCCTTTGTATATAGTTACTATAGAAACATTAATATCACTTACGGATGCCCCATTAAAAGTGAACCCCTCAAAAGATTTAAACATACCCTTTCAAAAGCCATTCATTGATGGGTGTGATTGATAAAAGCTGAAGAAAAAGCCATATTGTTGCTGGGAAGAATGCAAGTGTAAAGATCTGAATAAAAAGATGCAGTTTAATATGCATCAAAGCACTGGTCAGCTCCTGGAAAAATAAAGGACACAAAATAACATACATAAGAAAATAATTTTGAATAGAGATTATTCTAAAACAACATCAAATAAATTAGCATTTCAGTTGGACTTACTTCATAGTTTAAAGCTTTATCTGTACACTTAGGATTAAAAGACAGAATGATAAGAGAGAAAAAGTCATTCATGATGATTTGAAAAGTATTTTGATATAAAACTTCTGAAATATTCTAATTTTTTAAAATATACAACATATGTCAATAATTCAGATTTGTTAGATTCTAGATGAGAATTGAGCTAACTGCATTTTTACTAGCATCAGTTTGAGAACTATAAACAACAAGTATGTATGTTTACCAACATTAAGAATCTTGTTTGAAAACTAGTATGACTTATCACATTCTACTTAAATATAACTAATCTCCATTCAGTAAACTAGACAAAGTAAGGCCTCAATTTGATAAGATGTTACTGAATCTACACACAAATCATTTTTAATTGTTTTTCTAATATTTTATAATTCAAAATGGCTTTGTCCCAAAAATTAACTCATAAAATTTCTTTGTAGTTAACAGTTACTGAACACCAGCTGTATGCCAGGCTCTGAGTTTGGCACTTTATGTATTTCATTTAATTCTCCCAACAACATCATTAGGCAGATATCATTATCCCTATTTTACTGATGAGGAAATGAAAACTGAGAGCTACTACAGTTAAGCTCCGAGTCAGATATATACTCTCATATCTATGTTGTTTCTCCACTGTATCGCAGAGTTGCCCAGGAGAGAAGGGAAAAAAAGTGTACATTAAACATAACAATTCAAGTGTATCCTAAAAGTCTTACAGCTATAAAAGGATAATTAGTTAATCTTTTGGGTTCAAATACATACAAACTTTCAAACATCTGCATTTGAATTTCTTTGAGTTATGTGGCTATTCAAATAAAGCAAATTCAGATGGTATTATAAAAAGTATAGCCCTTTAACACATGCAAACAGTCACTGAAGCATATTCAAGATGCCAGAGATTCACTGGGTGTAAAAGTAGCACTGTAATACCACTCTCACACCCCACCTGGCCATTCAAGGAAGAAGTTCAAGAAATCCTTGACTTCATAGGCACTAGCCAAAGTTTATCAATTTAATAAATAATAGGCTTATGTGGACTCATTCATTGCTCACCGCATTTTGAGATGCCTCAGTGGCTCCTGTGTGGTCATAGGCAGGAAGTCCTTGATGATCTTTTGCTGTTGTTGTTGTTAAGTGCCCTCAAGTCGGTTTCAACTTAGAGTGACCCCGTACAGGGTTTCCAAGGAGCAACTGGTGGGTTTGAACCACCAACTTTGCTGTTAGCAGTCTAGTGCTTAACCTACAGCACCACACCAGGACACCTGATGATCTCTAAGGAACTGGAAAACTGGGTTTAATACAGGGCCACTGAGCTACACTAAAGTGCCCTGGTAGCACTGTGGGATAAGTGATGGGCTGCTAACAACAGTTCAAACCCATCAGCTGCTCCACAGGAGAAAGATTTACAACCTCAGAAACCCTATACTAATGAGTTGGGATCTATTCAATGGCAATAAGCTTTGTTGGGGTTTGGGGGTGGTAACATTGAAGGAACTCTGGAGACACAGTAGGTTAGGCATTAGGCCATTAGCTGCGAAGTCTGAGGTTCAAACCCACAAACTGCTCTGCTGTCTGCTCCTACAGATATTTACAGTCTTGGAAACCCTACATGGGGATACTATGAGTCAAAATTGACTCTGTGGCAGTGGGTTTGGGCAACAAAGAAGGGACTCTGGTGGTACAGAGGGTTAAGGATTGAACTGATAAATAAAAGGTTAACAGTTTGAACCCACCAGTCACTCCATGGAGAAAGGTGTGACTTCTGCTCCTATAAAAATCTGAAGGCTCAGAAACCCTATGGAGCATTCATGATTCACTATGAGTCAGAATCAAACTGACAGCAGTGGGTTTGGTGTTTGGGTTTGGGGCAACACTGAGCAGATGAGAAGCCAAACTAGAGTCTTTGATCAGACCTAAAACCTACAAGATAAAGAAAGCCATCCTTAAACGGAATAAGAGATTTTAACGTTCTACACCAATAGCATAGAGAATTCTCTGCAATCTTTAGACTAAATCTCATTTAAATATATTCAGAGGCATCTGATACTCCACACTTCTTACTTTAAAGAATATTGTAATAAAAAGGATAAGCCAGAATGAAGTACCTAAGGCATTTGCATAGATGTCTGGTAGGAATATAAAACAGTATAAGCTTTTTTAAAAAAGGCAATTTGGGAACACGCATCAATCACATTCTGAAAACCAAACTATTTCTTATGTAGGTATTTATACTAAGGATATAAAAAATTGTTATAGACATTTATACATAGATTTTATCATAGCATTATCTATTACAGCAAAATCTGGGAGGGTGTTTTGAGCTATTCAAACTCATTAAAACTGTACTGACAAGAATGTGGGAATATGTGTTCTCTCCTACTTTACTGATAGGAGTATAAATTCACACATTCTGGTGTGGGGCTGTGGATTATTGCGTTAGACTGCAAAGCCAATTGAACTGCAAGGTCAGTGGTTCAAGCTCACCAGCTGCTCCTCAGAAACCCTATCTATACAGGGTCACTATGGGTCGGAACCGACTCGATGGCACTTCACAACACAACAACAACAAATGTAGAGCAATCTGCTGCTGATTACTTCATTCAACAAATTCTGAGCACCTCACATCATTCTAGGTACTTAGAATGTCTACCACAAATTAAACTCCACCTATCAATTGATCTAGCAATTCTAATTCAAGGAATTTATCCTTCAGATGTACACCCAAATATGGCAAATGACTTTATTTTTAGCTTATCCTGTATAGTAGTGTTTGTAATAGCAAAATCTTAGTCTTATAAATTTTCTAAATGCCCATCAATAGAAGACTAGTAAAATAAAAGAAACATTTATACAATGGAATACTAACCAGTCAACAAAAAGAAACAGGAAATTTGTTACATGTTGATATGAAGCAATGAGCTAAAAACTATTAAGTTAAAAAGAAAAGAAAAAAAAAAGTTCAAGTGTCCTAGAGTATTAAATACTACAATTTGGGGAGGGGGTATACATGATTTATAAACAATATCTCTGAAAGAATACACACAAAAACTGTTAGCATCAGTGTCTCCAGAGAAGAGAATTAGAAATCTAGTGGAAGGGTGAAGGAAGGCTTTTCATTTCCTTATACACTTCTCTACCTTTGTTTCTGAATCATGTAAATAAACCATGTGCTCATAAAAGTATGTCAATTTTAAATGTGTATTCATCTAGCTGGAGTCCTCGTATGGCGCTGTGGGTTAATGTGCTGGACTACAAAGTCGGTTTGAACCGGTGGTTAAAGCTCACAAGCCACTCCTCGGAAATCCTATACAGGGTCGCTATGGGTTGAAACTGACTCAACAG